ACATTCAAAGGAATAAAGGAACTAAGGCCCTTTTAAGAGCCTATGTTTCTCAAAGGCAAGAGAAGTAAAAGCTAAAATAAATGAATGAGACCACATCAAACTAAAAAGCTTCTGCTCAGCAAAAGAAACTGTCAACAACGTAAAGAGACAACCGTCCGGATGGGAAAATATATTTGCAAGCAATGCCTTCGATAAGGGCCTAATGTCCAAAATATACAAAGAACTCATACGACTCAATAACAACAAAAAAATAAACGATCCAATCAAAAAATGGGCAGAGGATCTGAACAGACACTTCTCCCTAGAAATCAAAACCACAATGAAGATACCATCTTACACCTGTTAGAATAGCTATAATCAACAGGCCAAGTAATAACAAATGTTGGAGAAGAGGAAAAGGAACCCTCATACACTGCTGGTGGGAATGCAAATTGGTACAGCCACTGTGGAAAATAGTATGGAGGTTCCTCAAAAACTTAAGAATGGATCTACCATATGATCCAGCAATCCCTCTACTGGGTATTTACCAAAGACTTGAAAACCCATATCCAAAAAGATATTTGCACACCGATGTTCATAGCAGCATGATTCACAGTAGCCAGGACATGGAAGCAACCGAAAGATCCTATGGTAGATGATTGGCTAAAGCTGTAGTACCACATATGTAAAATGGACTATTACTCAGCCATAAGAAGAGATGAAAAACTACCATTTGCGACAACATGGATGGACCTCGAGATAATCATGCTAAGTGAAATAAGCCAGACTGAAAAAGTTGAAAATCATGTTATTACTTATATGTGGGATATAAACCTAAAAGCAACAAACGAACAGGACTCGTGGACATGGACAATAGACTAGTGGTTACCAGAGGGGAGAGGGGAGAGGGGAGGTAGACGGGGCGAAGGGTGTCAAATATGTGGACAGAAAGAAATCTAATTACGGGAGGTGAACACACGATGTAAATATATATATGCCTTACTGTTAAAATGTACAGCTGAAACTTATCAGATTTCATTAACGAATGTCACCATAAAAAATAAATTAATTAAAAAAAGAAAATCACAGAATCAAAAAAATTAATTAATAAAAGAAAAAAAGGATTTTATAGCATTAAAATTGATTACTCATTAAGCTCTTACAGAGATTCAGACTAATGTTAGAGATACCATGGGAAATGTGGCTCAGATTACAGATGAGTTTTTCTTCAAATATTCAGTTGAAAGTTTCATTTATTTGAATTTTCCCCTTCTCTAGTCACCTCAAATAATGAGAAAGGTCCCTGAAATTTTCTCCAACATCTAAAGGTACCAAGCCCTTCTTTATAATTCATCACTCTTGCTGTTTAGCCCCCATTATGTACATTGTATCTTAGTTCATTTAAAATTCACTAATCATGAGAGATTTCTCTATTGGATGCATTTGGAGATCTCCTTGGATCTCCTTCTGCCTTCCATTCTGATCATCTATGCCCATCTTTCACTTGTGAAAACTCTCATCAAACTACGAGTATTTCAGGATGTTTTCTCAGACAAGAGAAATGATAACTGGACTCCCAGCTAACCCAGAGTTCTGTTT